ACCGGACAGCTGAGATGGATGCTGTGTACTAAATCTGTGTTATACTCTGCTTTTTCCATTTACAGAAGGGCAATGTTTTTCTTCACTGGCTGGAAATGTTCTTCATAAATTTAGATTTTGACAGAATGTTTTTGCCCAGCTGTCTGTCTCAAACTGTGAAGTGGAGGAATATCATAGTTCCTAAAGTGCCCAGTTGTTACGCAGAAATGTTACGGTCTGGATTTTCTGAATGAATGGCTTATGTAAGGACTAGAAAATGAAGTAAACAGCCTTCATGTGCTGAAAGAAAGTTTGTGAGAATTGACTGAATTGATATCCATCTGAAGAATGACTTGTATAATCCATTGAAAAATTATATTGATATCTAAATAAATTCACTGGTCGCAGGTTTTACTCATATTATTTAAGTATATTTGGTGACTATTAATTAATTGCTATCTTTTATCACAAGATCCAACTATCATCATGTATTTTGGTTTTGGTTAACTTAACACTCTTTTTTTTAATTCTCTCTGGCTTTTTTTTTTTTTTTTTTTTTTTTTTTTTTTTTTTTTTTGCTTATTCTGTTTCTTCTGCTTTTTTTTTTTTTTTTTTTACTGTAGACCCCATCTATTTAGATATATTAAAATGTCAGGCTTGATTCATTACTTTGAGGTCAACTTAATTTTGAATGAATGTTTGGTTTCAATGGTTTGCATTGACAAAACAAGTTTTAAACCAATTAAACCAGCTGCTGTTGTTTGTATAGCATCATTATAAAGACATTTTGGGACCCAACTTGCTATATAATACAATAGCTAACAGCTGTGTGGTGTTTGTTGCAGAATAAAAAAAAAACATATAGTCTTATTTACTCAAATTATTATTATTATTGTTGTTGTTATTATTATTATTAGCAATGGTACTAATTATTCTAATTATAATATTTATTATAAATGATGACATTCACACTAAGCAGTTATTCTACTGCATATTGTTGCTGTGACCTTAAGCGAGACACTTCACCCACCTTGCATGTGAATGAAAAATGCAAGGTAAACTGTCTTGAAAGGCTTTACAAATCCAATGTATTATCTGCTCTGTACATGATGCCCAACCTGCTACCTCTTTGTACCATAGCCTTGGCACTAGCTTGTGTCAAGTGGAATGTCTTGGTAGCAGGTTTTGTCCTTAAAAGACAGGATATTGGAATATTCTATTTCTTTACAATTATTTGTCCAGGCCTAGATTTGTTATGTTTGTATTTTTCATTTCAAGTTTGTGATTTTGAGCTGCTGTTAAGTGCTGCAAAGTCCACAATGGGGGAGTTCCTTCCTCCCTGTTATAATGATACAGAGGGAAACTCCACTGGCTACTGTGAGATTTTTTATGCCAGCAAATGCTTGTCCAAAATCCTGGAGGTGGAGGAACAGTAGTGAGGCCTGTTGTCACAATGTCAAATCTCCATGTGTCTTCACAGATGGCTCAGAGACACGAAGTGGCTCAGATCTGGTCTAGCATTTCCAAAGAAAATGTTCTCTTTGGAACAACACTGCTTACAGATTTGTAGCTCTCTCTGTCTTTTGCCTATTTGATTTATTCCCCTTTTGGCATGATGCTTGTCCTGCCATGACCTACAGTGCAGTGTGATTTAGATGTTTGCTTAATCTTTTCTGATGCATATATAGCATGCATCAGAGTAGCCTGTTTGTCCTTGTGGATTCCCTTTGGATACCAAAGGCTATCTAAAGAATTGGAGGCTTTGGAGAGTTATTGAGGCTTAATTGCCTGGATGTGGAGGAACTGCTGCAGACAGGCCTAGAGATTAATAGGAAGATTTTTTTAAATTTTGGTTTTATAAAGTGATGAAAAAATTGGAGACGCAAATCAATAACTTATCATGTGTCTGTAGGACATCCTTTTGCACAGTGCTTCAGTCTTTCCAATCTAGTCTCCAAAGCGCATGTCCATGCTGTTCCAGTTTTGAGAGTGTGGAGGACATTGATAAAGCAGAGCTTGTGACCTGATCCAGATCAGCCCACCTGTATGCATGACAGGGCCAGAGCCAGGGTAGTCTGACGCCAGGGTAGTCTGACGCCACTTATGTGTAAAGTTTGCTGTGGCCATACACGGTCATATGCATTATGCTGATTTAACATTTATAACGGCGTGATAAATCAAGAGGATGAAGGAAAACCATTTAAGAGCAAAAACATCTGCTCTAATCAAGAAAGACCAACAACTCAAAGTGTTTTCACTTATAAGAAATGTGCAAGTCAAAGTAATTCAGCCCTGAAACAGCCCTGGACAGAGGAAGCAGGAACTCTGAAGGTGTAGTGGAGAGTAAAGTGCCTGGTTCAGTTCTGGTTTAGTCCTGCTTTAGACCTGGTGTAGACCTGCTTTAGTCCTGGTTTAGTTCTTTTTCAATCCTGGTTTAGACCTGGTTTAGTCCTGGTTCAGTTCTGGAATAGTCCTAGTTTAGTCCTGGTTTATTTGTTTTATGTTTATCTAAAGCCAAATATAGACGTCAATGTCTAAATAGCAGCATGGGGGAATAGCAGCATGTAACTGCGTTGCAGGTACATGAATGTTTACGGTCTAGAAAATCCTATACAAATTTAAATGCCTTCTCTTACAGCAATTACTTAAAAATAGCAGTTAATTAGCACAGCCAGGTAAATACAAGAGGTTAACAGTAGCTTTAGCTAACGTAAGCTAAAGTCATTATCACTCGACCAGTATGTTACCATCCTGACAGGAGCAAGCTTGAGTACAAACCTGTTCTTATTTGGAGGCTGTTGGTGCACTTGGAAAGACGGATGGCACAACAGTCATTTTCAGAAAAAGCCTTATTTTGGACTGTGTGAAGTCGTTTGGACTGAAATGATCACAATAGACCATTCAGTTTTGCAGAGTCTCCATCACTGTGTTCATGTCCAATCCAGCAGCTAGAAGCTGTTTCGTTTTATCGTGGTCTCTAACTGTAAAGTGGTGGAAACTTTGAGGTGCCCATCTGCTGGCTTTATTTTTGCAATTGGTAAATGCACACTGATTTGCCATGCTGCCATGTCATTGGTTTGTAATCCACTGATCGATCCAACTGTAGAAGAACTAGCTACAACAGGTCTCTCGCGACTCTATTTTGAAGAGAATTGATTACATCACAACTAACCTGAGCAGAGTAAAATTCCGCTGCTGCTGAGAAAATAATCAACACGCAACGATTCATGCGATACAAGGTTAGTATTACTTCTAAAATTATTCTATTGACACAGACATTCACATCAACAATCCGGCATAATAATGGATTTGCTTCGGGTGTTTTGTAGAGTGGATAGTTTTTAGTGGCAGACCATCAGTGACCGTTCACTTGCGCTAGCCAAGCACCAGCGACCTCTCCAAAGGACTGGATGGATTATTTCAAAAAGTGTCTACACACGTCTTCAACACTCTGGCTCACTAGGAAATGAAACCCTATGACCAAAATTCTGAACTGTCCCTTTAATATTGTTACTTGTTTCTTTGTCCCGATATTTCCTGTACATGGCACCCAGGCAAAATATGGAGTAAATACTTATTACATTGAGCAAAATAGTATTTTGTTTTACCTAATTTTCATGCTTTTGTCTCCAAACGTCCTCTGACAAAGGCGCAGAGAGGGGTTGGTATAACTAACAACCCCCTTTTCCCTTGTTGTGAGTCTCCATGACAGTGCTGTGAGTCAGGGCACAGCAGCACGTAAGCGTGGTTTGAGTGGTAAACACAGGCAAACTTAAGCAACTTTTTATTGTGACATGAGTTTACTCCCACTTTCTTTTGAACTGTTTGCTTATTATTACACCGGGTGCATTCGCGCAAACACATCCGCAATCCGCATGCAATTGAGATTTTTAGTTAGAGATTTAGAAAAAGTCTGGTGGCTCTACAGTTTAATTGAAAATTAGATTTTAAAAAAGGATAGTTAAAAAATTATGAGTACACCAGCAAGGCACCGGGGCCCCACCCTGGAGCCAGGCCTGGGGTGGGTGCTCGCCAGCGAGCGCCTGGTGGCCGGGCCTTCCCCCACGGGGCCCGGCCAGGCTCAGCCCGAAGGAGCGACGTGGGGCCGTCCTCACGTGGGCCCACCACCCGCAGGAGGATCCATATGGGGCCGGTGCAGAGAGATCTGGGCAGCAGTCGACGGCGGGGGCCTCGGCGACCAGATCTCCGGACATGGAGACTAGCTCTGGGGACATGGAATGTCACCTCGCTGGGGGGGAAGGAGCCTGAGCTCCTCAGGGTTCCCCCGGAGGAGCTGGAGGACGTGTCTGGGGTGAAGGAAGTCTGGGAGTCCCTGCTTAGTCCCTGCTGCCCCCGCGACCCGGCCCTGGATAAGTGGACGAAAATAGATGGATGGTTAAAAAAAAATTATTGTATTTTTTGGCCTATAGCCCTACTTAGTCAGTTGTGATTTAGTGTTGTCAGAATTTACTGAAGAAATACATCACAATAACATACACAAAACTCATCATAATG